CTCGCAAGTTCTGACATTCCATCCCGAAAAGTCTCCTCATTGATCGCATTCCATCCATAGACCAGTGGAGCTCGAGCACACGTGCACAGCCGCGCGCGGCAAAATAATCGAAGCCGCACAACCTTGCTGAATTTAACCGCGATCCCTTTTGTTAGATCATAGTTCGCCGTTTTTCACGCAGACGGGACGCTCTTTTCGAAGAGTTTCAGCAACAGCGCATGGACAAGCATTGCATCGCAAAGTCTGGATTTTCGGGATCTCTGAATTGTTTTTTCTTAGAGATTTTTTCCTCAGCGGGTTTTTTCCTTACATCCTTCTACATATGTTATGGTGTATGCACAATATTCTCGGCGCAATGTGGCTTGGGGGGGACTCTGTAGAAAGGCCTCTGGGACTAAGCCTAGGCAGCAGGGACGAACTCCGGAGAATACGAAAATTGCTTCCGCACACCGGAGTTCCTCCCCTCTTCAAAAGCTTAGTCCTGAAACTGAGCGTTTCCGTGATCTTGACGCGATGTTCCGTGGTGCCCCCCCCCCCCGAGTAACATTGCCCCAAATTCTCTAACCAGCAAACAGCACCTGGTTCACGAATGAAACTAGGGATTCTGAATTAACTCGAGATGTCAGTTTCTCTGGAATCGCAAAATGATGAGTATGGTTCTTATCGCTCTGAAGAAGACGTTAAATTCGAAAGTTTCCTGTGTACCCTTGTTTCAGGTGACATTGAGCAGAGCTGCCGCGAATGTTGTGAGGTTGCTATTTTTTGAGAATATGGAACCCCAGGTTTACACGATGTCCTTGATCTGTTCATTGCTTATTATTTGCTCCGAACACTGTCGCTGACATCTCTTTTCATGTTCCGCAACTTACCATGTTGATGAAGCCTCCTCACCAACAGTACTTATGTACCATTGCTATAGGCCCTCCCTCTGGAGCCAGATTGCCACGGCTTGACTATAGACCGTTGCAACGCCAGTTCAGTCTGCTGTACTTGAACACCCACGCGCGGGAGATAACGCAAGCTGCGGAATCATGCGCGGTATTCAGCCGGATCATAAAAAGGGAACATTTTCCGACCTGACCCACCGTGGCTGTTATTAACGACCATTTCCAACTCCACAGTGTTCGAAACTTACTCTTATTCTCCAGAAACACCGCTTTTTTCCACGATGACCAAGTTCCTGCCATATGGGAGTGGCTACCAATTCGCCGCCACAACCTACTAAAAAGATCACGTGCTTTCAAAAAGTGCAAACGAATCAGTCCAACTGCAAACAAAGGAAAACACACTAACCTTGTGGGATTTCCTCACATGTTCTACCGGCCAGCCCTGCAGGACACTTACATCTTTTGCAGTTGTTCGGGTCCGGATAACCACCATTCTGACAGCCCATTGGGGGACATATATCTGCAAGAGATGCGAACGCGAATGCACGAAGCGAGGCGGTGGCGTTGCCTTTAACGGCGACCTTTTCTTACCATTGCAGTACAAACGATTGAGTTGTTTCACGTCAATAAACGAAGGTTCTCCACGCTGACCGATTGTCCGCTGGTAGTTCGGGTCGTTAGTTCGAATGGTGATCTCATTCCAGTCCTTTGTGAATGCCTGGAAACTTCTGGCTAAAAATAACGATTTACCATCTACAAAATAACTGAACCGAATTCCGTGTTGTTGCTGCTCTGCCATACAGGTTGTTATGGTGGATAGATTTATTCGGTCGATGTTTCGAACAATTCGTCTTCTTCAGGACCTGAGGTTGGTTCGTTTCTTAGCTTGCAATTAACCCGGTGCACTGGTGCACCTTAAGCTATGAACTACGAACCAACTTCAGGTCCTGAAGAAGACGAATTGTTCGAAACGTCGACCGAATAAATCTATTCCACCGTAACAACCTGTATGGCATAGCAACAACAACACGGAATATACAACATGCCCAGGTTCAAGAAGACCGAACATAGAATCTACTGAACGAATTGTTTTTTCGTAATTAACTTCATTTCAGTAGGAGTAGCAGAGAGCTATCACTTTTATCTAATCCTCCCTCCATCGTCACGATATTTACCATCGAGCCGTTGAGATGTTTGAGGAATTGGGCGATTCCATTTCACCCATATATCTCTAGTGGGCAATCTTTCATGAAAAATGAGCTCCGTCAAATAGGAACCGAGGCATCAGCGATATCCCCGAGGAGTTACTGCCGTGACAAAAGCACCTTGAAAATATTGTTTGGGCCGTTCAGCATGAAGAAGCTGCCCAAAGGAAAGAAAAAGCGAGCCTGGCGCTGTACTGATGATCTTGACGATAGCCATTGGGTCTCACTGGAAGGAAATGTGCCTAACATCAGCCCGTAGCATAACACGCCAATAAATGTGCCGTAAGCAACCACAGCTAGCCCCGTACTCCCGATTGAAGCTAAAGGCCTACGGATCCATTTCGGATGGTGCTCTCTGTGTCATAACTACTTAGAGCCACATTTATGATGTACCTATTAAAGGAGGAATTCACGATTAGAATGAAGGTCGAAGAAAGGGAAACTGACCTAGTTGAGGGACCCACGGACCTCCTGAGGGTGCGAACTGACGCGCAATTCGCATGGAAAAATTTGACCTCGGCGACCTATCATGCCTCAAAGCTGGCGGGTCCGGCGATCTCCGCCCACCGATCATCTGATCACTCGCCGTAGTTCAATACGTGGCGAGTGATTAGATAGCTGAGAGAGCGTAGTGTTGAAGAGGGCACAGCGATGAGAGTCGCATCAATGCTCGAATCAACGGGCAAGGAAGGGGTACCATTTCTCGGGTTCTGGGCCGTTTCTCATGGTTCTTCCTTCTTTCGTGTACCACTCACCATCCCTAGGTTAATTTGGAAATGGGTTGCTTTTTCATCGTGAATTCGTCCTTAAAGCACTATTAGGTAATTTCTTTTCGACCTCGTCAATGAGTTTTTAGTAGGGAAACTTGAAGGAGCCCTCCACAGCATCCTGTACTCAGGAAATTTCCATTCTACTAATTACTACTCAAACACCGATTTTTGAGAATTTTAAAGAATAAAATTGTATAATGAAAGGTATGTACCTACATTTGACCCGTAGTGCATAATGGAGCCCAAGTCATAGGGAAGACCCATGTCTTCGATCTCTTGTGTAGTACGTCGTTCGAAATTCCCATCGGTGCCACGGATTATGAACTGCTTGCTGAGAAGTAATAAACTTCGCATTGGTTTTGTTTCTTAGAATTTTTGAATAGGTTTCCGCCTCAGTTTGAGCTTCTACGAAACCACAAAGTTCAATGGGGAAGATTGAGAACGAAACTGTAAGATTGCGGAAGTTGAAGAACATTTCGGCGAACGATGTGTGTTTTGTTTTAGCAACTTAGTGGTGTCGAAAGAACGTCGTACGTTTCATCAACGAATCAGAAAATAAGCATGATATGACTAACTTCAACGATATATAAGAGCGATCCGGTCGTGACTGCTCGTGCAGAATCCAAGGGAGTGTCCAACTTCGTGACAAACAATACCCTTCTGAAATTGATTTTGCTTGAAGGCGTACCCTTGTATCGAACCGGTGTGGTTCCACAAATATGAAATTTTAGTTCAAAATGGACCGGCAGTAAAGAAACATAAGGAAAACAATGCATACAAGGGTAGTCAGAAAAGAGGCATTTGCTCGAGACAAACATGAGCAACTTTAAAGCGAGAGATTACGATAAAGTGCGTGTGTGTGTGCGTGTGGAAGTACATGCACATTGGAAGCAGTAGTCAGGGGCCCAAGGAAACGAAATGTTGCGTTTTTGTGGCCAAAGGTGCGCTAGTTGCAGCGTACAAGGCTTGCCATTCCTTTCTGAGCTCCGCCACGGCCTGTGCTCCGCCCCCAGCAGCAGCGCCTTCGATTATCATTTTGATGAGGTATTCCGCTTGAGTGCGTATCCTATAACTTTCCCATGGAATGCGTTACCAATCAAAGCATGGCCTTTGCTGGTATGATGGTGGCTATCGGTTTAACATGTGCAAAAGACCTCTTTGGTTGCTAGCTCGTCCATTATCGGAGGTCAACGGGCAAAGAAAGGGGTCCCATTTTGCGCGTTCTCGACGGATTTCTTTGCTTTTTTCGCCACTGGGGCATTACTTCAGCACACTCTCTTATTCTGACCGGTTCACTTATGTAAGGCTTCCTAAAGGGAGCAGCTTTAACTACGCATTACTCCTTTGGACCAGCGTTTCAAAACCTTATCAAAGCCCTTTATCCGTCGAGGATCACGATAGCTCGCACTGTGCACAAGGCTACCATTGCAAATCCTTCTGGTGTCGTCAATGTGGATTGCCATCATGAAGTTCATCGACGGATTGGAACGTGTTCTTTGAATTGCAGTTGGAGGCCTTCGGTTGAATCAAGCAGAGTGTGATCACGGTTGTTTTAAATTTGAAGGAGTGAAGTGTTCCTATTTTTGGCCACCCCTGTAGGCCTCAAGAAGGAGTTCACGACCACATGGAAATCCATGATTCTCAACGTAGAGGATTAGTGGTGCTGATATGGAGAAAAACCATGAGAAGCAGCCCAGATTATCAACATTAAAAGTCGGTCCGCAAATTCTATTACAAATTAGATGATTACAGTTTGCAACTTACATCTTCACATCCATAGCCGATTGAAATCATTTGAGAGCCACCAGTGCGTCCCGACGCTTGAGTAACATCTGAAGAACAGTCAGTATGACACGAGTAAACGTATCATGAATTGCCAGCTTTAAAAGCAAAGGCCATAGTGGGCGCTGAAAGAGTTCCTACATGAGAGTTGCGTGATCCGTAAAATGAAGTCGTGAAAGCACCTGTCACCTGTATCACCTGTCGTCCCGTTGATCATCGATTTGCTCGAGCGGGCGCCAGCAACGTCTCCATTCGTCCCTGTCGCGTGCTAGAGTGGTCCAGTGGATCCTCCTCGCTCGAGGGACACGAAGTCCTTCATTCCTTTCGTTCAGAGCTTTCGTGAAGAAGTCTGACCATCGGGCCGGCGGTCGTCCAGGTGTTCGTTTGACGTCCCGAGGGATCCAGTCGGTAACCGCTCTGGTCCAACGGTCATCGCAAAATCGCATGACGTGTCCGGCCCACCTTATCTTCGATTCCTTGGCGAAAACGGCAGCGTCCCTGATCTTCGATCGTTGGCGTAGTTCGAACTCCGGATTCCCCTCTGCACTTGCGTGTATAGGGTTACTCCTAGCATCGTCCTCTCGACAGCGCGTTGGATAACGCTGACCGCATGCTCGTCCTGCCTGCGCAGAGTCCAAGTCTCTGAGGCGTAGGTTAGGGCAGGAAGGACAGCGGAATCGAAGAGGTGGGCACGGAGCCGGATGTTCTTCGTCTTCTTCACTACTCCCTCGATGTTCTTGAATGCTCCCCATGCCGCTCGTTTCCTCCTGCTCAGCTCTGGAGCTAGGTCGTTCATCATATTGATTTCCCGACCTAGGTACACGTAGCTGGAGCATTCGGTGATGTTCGTTCCGTTGAGCGTGAATGGGGCATCAGGAACCAATCCGTTTCTCATAAACATCGTCTTCGTTAGGTTCAGCTGCAGCAGACCACAGGCGCAGGCACATATTTGGCTATGGTGGGACTATTTCAGGGACCATTTAGTGCTGTGCCGCACTTATTCGAAATATTTTTATACATTATTTGAAACCCTCAGAACTGCTCACATCTTCGAATCCACAGTTTTAGGAATGCTTCAATTTCATGTTTTTGTTTTGCCGATGATGGCTCAGATCCAATCATTACTATAAAACAACTCTGACCCACACACATATGCGACAGTAATGAAGAACTGATCCTGAAATTAAGGGCATGCCAGAATTCCTCGATGGCATCGATGGTGTCGTTAAAAATACTTCATCTCAACACACTCCGAAATTTCTGCCCCCAAAACTCCAAAGTGCGTAGAGGGGAGGAGGAGGGGAGTGGGGTGTATGGTTGCCGCATTAGCAAAATCATAGAGCTTTCTCTCAGGTCCTGAGAAGAATTCCCATGTTCCCAAAAATAGGTTCTTCCCATATCACTCCTAAGCGAGCTCACTCTCCCCGGAACCCTCAAAACAGACTTGGAAAATGGGTGAACCATCACCCAGCCGTTCACCCATTTTCCAGGTCTGTTCTTCAAGATATGCTTTACTGCCAACTTCGTGCATGCCAGGGTCACGTTAGTGCCTCTACGCATGGTTTATTGGAGTGAAGTACACCGAGGCATTTCGCTTCTAAGCCATTCTAGAGAGCAAAAAAATTGGCATTGATGATGTACTTCTAGAGCGATGTAGTCATAGCTGACTTGAAGGAGGATTCCACGATAATTTCGAAGGTAGAAGAAAGGGAATCTTACCCGGTGGGAAGGCAGGCTAATACCCTGAGGGAGCGGACCGACACACAATTCCCAGCGAAGGATATGCCCCGGCAATCTAGCATGGCCCTCCCGCGGCGCATCGGCGCGCTATCGGCGCGTACGCCTCCTCTCGCTGTCTGACCCTCTAGCCGTTTAGCAGAGAGAGCGTTAGCGTTGAAGAGGGCAGCACCGATGAGAGTCGCATCAATGCGGAAATCAACGGGCAGAAGAGGGCCATTTCTCGGTTCTAAGCCACTTCTCATGGTTCCTTCTTTATCCCTGCACCTCAGAGCGTCTTTTCATTATATCTAATGGGCTGTCTCTTCATCGCAAGTACCGCCTTCGAGCGGAGAATCGTCTACAGTGGGCGGGTTACGTGCTCAACACGGGGGTTCTCAACAATTCATAATTCTGTCCCGGGCATCCCGAAAGACAGGACAAAGTGGACAGAATGTTTCAACTATGTAGCAGAGAAGAATTATATTGCGACACTTACCCGCTGCCACGGAAAAATATGACGTGGTCTTTACCGCGACCGTTCTCCTCCCATCTCAGGCAGGTCTCGCTTTCCCAATGTTTCAACGCGGAGCGAATAAGATTTCGCCATTTTTCTGAAAAAAAAAAACAGATTTTAACGATATTGGCAAAAAATAAGGAAATTCAAGTTTTATATGAATTCTACGGAGAAGAAAACAAGAACCAACCGTCTCCTTCCTTGAATCGGTATGGAATCGGAGCTCGCGGCCATCGATATATTGCGCCGGTTATTACCTATGAAAACTCACTTTTACTGGGAATGAGAACAAGGAATTCTGAAACAATTCACAAAATCCGAGGAACCGTAGAGCCAGAAGGCCGCACATTGATAATAACTCAAATTGTAAAGGGAGTGGCCAACAGGGTAAAACTTCGTGTTAGTACTTTTTTTGGAATTTTTACAACTCGTTCCCAACTCGGAAATCTCAGTATGATTCCCTATCATCGAACGTAAATGAATCATCTAGAAAAAGTGACCTCTCCTCACCAACCCCTCCCCTCCTCCGCATCAAATCATGGATGTTCCAATAACATTCTGTTGTGAGGTCGGTACATTTGAGCTCCGCCTCAAATTTCCCGCGAAACTGCCGTAAAGCGGGGAGTTAATGGATTATATGCTCTACTTCAGCTTATATCATGCATTTTCATGAGTATCGTCCAAATTGTGAAGAAGTCAAAACTATCACATTCATAGGCAAGTGCGACCCTTCAGCTTCTAAAATTAGGACCCTCTTTCGAACTTTTTTCAAAGCACGGTTACCCTCGTCAACTTGGAATATGACTTCATCCTCGCAAATCCCCCCCCCCTCCCCGTCCCTCGCTCGTTCGAGCAGAGTTCGAATGGACGTTAACAGTGATTATCACTTGGACAGCGCAAGGGATGGGAACGATTATAGTTCGCAAATATTCTAATAGTACAAACTCAATCAAATTGGGTTCCCAATGTGACACACTTCCAATTGCTGTAACAAAAATGGCTGCTGGAATGAAGCGACCGAAATATGCTTGAATGCAGAGTCAGGAAAAAATGTGGTTGGTGAGATTCAACCAGCCGCGCTTCCAACGTCATCACCGAAACTCCAAAGGTCGGAGGTGGGAAGGCGGACTTCATTTCCCATAATAGCAAAGATTGCGAAAACGCGGAAATGCTCTTTATTTTGCAAACAAATCTCACCCTCCAAAAACCTCATTCCACATGTCTTTTGAATCCGACTCCATTCCGCTAAATAGTCTACACCCCAAAAAAATCACCAAGTACGCTCGACTCGGGATTCGCACCTGCTGATTGGGCTAGAAGTACTGTGAACACTGCTTCCAGTATTCTCCATTTTAGGCGTGAGCTTCACACCACTACTGTATGAGTGATCCACCTGCGAAATTTGCTTATAACTCGGTAAATGTAGTGGAGGCATGCTCAAGCGCTTCATATTCCTAGTTATGTAAGGTGCGCCATAATTATGGTAACAAGGTAATATAGCGGAAAACCACATCAATTTGATCGTGGAAAATGTCTTAAAGGATCCCATAATATGGCGCTGAAATGAGACGGCTTCACGGGCTAGTGGTTTCCAAAGAGCATTTTGGGATAACTACCACAACGAACCACGGATCTCTTTCACTGAGGGTACTCTCTCACTGAAAGATCTCGAGCCGGATGGTGG